GATTTAGCAGTCACTTGTGGTGTCGAGCACGATGCATAGTTGAGCGTACAAAAAACCTGCAGATGATCAGATGTGCCAAGAGGAGCTGCGTGGTCGACTGAGAGGACATGTCGGGGTTTGTTGGTTACCAACAAGTCAAGACATGAGTTGGCACCCGCTGATGAAGTGTATGTTGGGAAACTCACTAGCTGTTGGAGCATTGAAAAAACTGTCTGTAGGTTGGTACGGGCTGTAGAGGTGGAATCAGAAGAGCACCAATCATTATGTTTGGCATTAAGATCCCCCGTCAGGAAGAAGTCACACTCGTCATAGCAAGAGGACTGTATAGCATCGACGAGCATATCCGAGAAGAAGGACAATTGTTCCGCCGTTTGGGAAGGGGGTCGATACATGCAACATACAAGAATAGGGTTAGGGGTGCATTGAGACTTAACTTCCACCCAGGTAGATTCACAGCCCTGACGCTGCAGGTCGGGTCTGGGGAGAATATGTTGAAAAGCATCAGTCCGGACAAGAACGGCAACACCACCATATCCTCTAGTGAAAGAGTGTGCATTTCTGTTCTCGTGTGCTGGTCTGTCTCTTCTGAAACAGGAATAGCCCGGTACATGCACGGAAACAGATGGGCACAGCCAGGTCTCCGTGAGGCAAACAATACTTGGCTTAGTGCTCTCCAGAACAATCGAAAGTTCAGCTAATTTATTGACGAGAGACCGACAATTCATGGTTATCAGCGTTAGGTCGGATTCTGATCTGGGGTAGAATGGGGTAGCATGCAAGTTGAGGGAAGACATAGACAACATGATTATGACGAGGAACTATCACCACCACATTCAGTCACGTTGGTACCGTCGGCAAAACGCCACTTACGGACGGTGTGGCTAATTGTTGCCGGCCAAAATCCTGCACGGAGTATTTTGCCTTCATCCGTCGCTAGGACAGTCAGTCGTGCATATGCTGTGCCAAAGGTCCGGGATTCGCTAATACTGCAATTGAGCACCTCAACCTCACGGTCCTTGCACCAGTCAGTAATTGCGTTAGCGCTACACTCCATGTGGACATTGCCCACGTAGAACATAGATTTCGCGACTTTTTCTACGCCTGTAAGGATGTTGGGGTTAGCTGGGGCCACAGGCTTCACGTACCGGGACGTGACCCGACGCCGTACAACTTCGGCCCAGCCATCCGAACTGCTTCCCGTATATTCACTTGTACTAGTTGTAGCCGATGTTGATCTGGTTGGTGCAGCCGGTGGTGTTTCAGTGCGTGATGAGGTCTGGTGTACATGTGTCGATGTTTGGGAAGTGCGGGTACGGTTGGTAAAGTGTGCGTTGGGGGGAGTACGAGTCCGAGTGACGGTTTCCCTCACCCTAGCCCCTGTACTACCTGAACTAGCTACACTACTGTACGTTGTACTCGGGGTTGGAGATTGTGCAATCAGTTTTGGACTCCCGCCTTCCTCAAGGTGTATAATCTTTGCCACGAGGCCATCAATGGTTGCTTTCATTTCTCTAACTTCCCTATCCCTGTCCATCGCACCATCGCAGTTATTAGTGACTTTTTCCATACAAAATTTTCCATACTTTTTCCCTAATCCCAAATCTAGTAGGGCACCATCACCCAGTTTCGGTGGAAGTGCTCGAGTTCGATTGGGAATAAAGGGAGAGGAAGGGAGCATCTCAGCGTCTTCGGACCAAGACCATTCGACTCAGCACCCCGGAGACTACAACTGGTGAAAATTTGATTTTAGGGTATACTTCCCCTTTATCGAGGAGAAATCTGTCGTTAAAATAGAAAAATTTAGACAGAAATCGATACATATTGTCGCTATTCGGCGTTGAGAATGAGTGGGAATCATTACATTTGCTACACATAAAGTAGTCAATTTTAGGGAATCGTTATAAATGCGCCTCGTTAGAATAATGGCTTTTACAGTAATTTTTGTTCCTTGTTTCAGTGCATTCTTTAGGCAGATATTTGACTTTGTCCAATAGCCAGTGAACGGGAGACCCTTTGCGAAAATATTATAGTGGGTGATGTAGGCCCACCAGTGAAAAAGAGATCCAACCTGAATGAATTTGGAAATTTGGCAGGCGGTAGTTGGTCATTACAGAAATTGACTCCTACACGTGATGATAAGCTAATTATCCGGATGTTGGATGTCACTAGAGCTATCAGCATTCTTCTGACTATTTCTGACAATACAATGCCAATATGTGTAGAAACAACTATTATAATAATGTATTTGTTGTGGTGCCATTTGTCATGAGTGTGTCATGCCTCTTACCTCAATGCAGCTTCATCCGTAGTCTGCTAATATTGAAGGGCAGGCGGAACTGGTCTGTTCCTTCCAGCCATGACCGGACTAACTTTTTGGCCCAGATATTTTTTCTTGGAAACATCACGTCGAAAATGAAAAAACGTCGATCAACTGATAGCTGATCCCGAGTACTACACCCTTAGTCAGAGAGTGTTTGGAAGTCTTTGAGCCATTGCGGAGTGGTTGGAAATGTTTTGAGGAGTGTGTCGGAAGTCGAGCTAAGATGTTACGACACTGAGTCAGCGGTACATTTGTGAAGAAACTGCATTCTCCCAACGTCGGAGCTCACGTTTCCTGTCGACTGGACTGACACTTAACTGACTCGCGACTGCGTCTGGAGCACTCGAGAAGCCCATCGTATCCAGGAAGTTACTGTTTTTGCTTGTTCTGCCAAAGTTTCCCTTCCAGCAGTGGCTGTCTATCCAAACTCGGCATTTGAACAGTGGTACATACGTCTGAATGTTCAAGATGTGACTTCTGCAGACTTCAATGGCATTTAAATAACTGGGTCAATAAACCATTTTCGACTGTAAAACCGTTGTTTTTCTACTGCGTGGTTTCGATATAACCTCACAGGCACACTCATACCGGGTAAGTGCCAGGTTTTGGCCGTTGTTCCAGTGGTGTATAATTGACTAACTATATGACCCATGATCACTTAAGGCTGCTTCCACTGGGCCTACATTATTCTTGTTCTGTTCTCATTTTAGTGCTAGTCGATTCACTTTTCATCATTCTTTGAAGTGGTTTATTTGAATTGTTTTTTGTTTTCCTGCAATGATCGCTTGTTTTGTTATTTATTTGCGTGCTTTCTGTGTTATTCATTTTACCAGCGCCTGCAAGGCTGCATGCTGTACTCGAGCGTGACTAATAATGTCACTGTTATGTCTTTGTTGTGGATAGGAATGTAGCTGCGTTAACATTTTTATTTTACCACCACTATTACACTCTGTGGACGACCACGTACATCCACTCGCTTGCACACAGCAGCAACAAGAGGCTCCTTCCAGCAGTGAAGTTTTATTCCTTCTGACAATTGTTTCAATCACTAAGGCCTCGTCAGAGAAGGTTGAGTTGTTGAATGACTGGAAAAGAAATAGTCGCCTATTTTATACTGTGAAGAAGATGTTGGTGCGACTTGAGCGATACTTGGGGAAATGTGTGTTGGTCCTTACATGGGAGTTAGCGATTTCCCTGCCGACTTGAATTCTCACTTGCCTAACTCACGACTGCCATCTAGATTGCATAAGACGTCCATCGAACCTTCCACTCGTTAAAATATGTTATATTGGCACTAGAAATGAGAGATAGTGCGCTGATGAGCGTGCACTTGATACTCGAAGTGTGAGTACAAGGTGAACAAATGCAAGGTGTAAAAATGTTAACCGCTTTCTGAAATCATGGGACCCTCTACAAAGAGGTGATAGTTACTGGCGGATACTGCAACGCAGCATACCTGGCATCAACCCCATGCTCTCCCTGTCCACACTGCACCATCGGCTCTCTCTCTTCGAGCGCGTGTCTCGTTTAGCTCACTTTCATACAGTCATGGAAATCAGTATAAACTAGGTGATTGTTTCTTTTCCAGACATTCAACGACTCAACCTTCTCTGATGAAGCCTTAGTGACCAAAACACCTGCTAGAAGGAATAAAACTTCAATGCTCAAAGGAACCGCGGCCTTGTGCCTGTATTGGGCAAGTGAGTAGATGTGTGTCATCGGCTACACAGCACAATGATGATGGTGAATATCAATGCAGACACTTTCAACGGCCGAATGCTGTTTATGCTGTGGTTAGTCACGTAGCTGATCTTGTTTTGTTTCTTTGTTCGAGTTGCTGTTTTCTTCACGTCATGTTCAGATTTATTTCAGGCACTTCGTGGTGGCTGTTGCTGCATTAGCTGCTTCAGCCACGACGACATATTACTGGTTGTTCTGCCGCCATTTTGTATGCCTTGTTCCACGTGTCTTTTCCTAGACAAAATGCTGTTCATGTTGTTCTTCCGCTTGTTCTTCTCTTTCTCTCTTCACTGCTAACTTGTATTATCTGAACTACATATTTTTCACCAAGAGGTTGTCGTGTTGTGCTGGTGTTGTGTTGGGCAAAGGAGGAGTTTTAGAAAAGATATATGGCACCATTCGCACCACAATTGAGATACGAAACGAATGCTGATCCATCACCTCAGTTCGAGGATTTGTCAGAGTCCCTGCGGAGAGCTCGTTTTCACGAATGGAAGCCTCTTCATTCGTGGCATGCTCCGAACTCGTCAGATACACCTTTTTGCTAGGTACACATTTTTCCCTTAACTCTACGTGTACGTGTGTGTAAACATGTGTACGCCAGCCGTATTTGTGTTCGCCATGGACATTTGCATGACGACTTGTGAAATTTAAATCTGTTTTCAATGAAACGAGGACGAGCCAAATCAACCTTTCATTTCAGAGTTGATTCGCAGCAGATGCGAAAGGTCCCTATACATCCAGTTCTCCCACAAGTTTATTGAATGTTTCAACTGCTCAATATCTTGGTTGCCGATTACAGCATTCTATCTATTCAGTGCCTATTTACTTTCTCTTCTGTGAGAACAGAAAAAAGTCCATTTTGGGGCTAATCATAGCAATCATCACATTAGATTTCTCAGAAATCTCAGCAATAAACACCACACAAGCACTAACTTACTCTCACACAATGGTCATAGAGATCGGTTACAGCATAGCAAATACCATGCTGGGGCAGAGACAGTGCTGCAACACCATGCGATTCACCCATACCGTTACCAATCGTTTTCACGTAAGACCCATCCTGATGTAGGACCTGGAAGAGAAACACATTTGATTTCCTGGTTAGTATAACTGCAAGGTCTTCGCCCTAAACCATTTAAAACAAAAAATGAATGAACCCTGTTCCTGAGTGAAACGTTCCACCAACAAGGAATACAGTCAGCAGAGAGGTGGACAGAGTGTTGCAGCAGGCTTGATAGGCAATTGGACAGGCAGGATGAGAGTACACACATGAGAGGGGCACAGCACAGGAAGCGAAGATGCAGGCAGTGATTTGAGATAGGAGAGTGTCAGGGTGCGGATAAGAGCCTTGTTACAGGCGTTATTTCTCACTTAAGAAATTCAAAATATTAGTTCTCTGGCCTAATTTGTGTTATTTAGAACAATGTTTTCTTCCTGATGAGAGCTGTACAATAACAAGGTTTTTTGAAATTCCATCATTGTCCATCATCAACCTCGATATTATTATACCCTTTTCTTCTTTGTCCATCACAGACTTAGTGAAATTTGTCATGATTTGTTTGTTTTTCCAAGAAAAAAAGCTTTGATACCTGGCAATTCGGCTTTTTATCATGATGGTTGAAAGTTGAAATCATGTCCTGGGGTACATTAGAGATAGCCGGGGACTACATGCAATGGAAAGCCACAAAGTGAAGTTGTATGCATACCCGTGTATTCTCATAGCACGGCTTAAATCTGGCTACACCAGTGTGCTGGTTTCGATTAACTGGTGCAGCAATTGGCATTGCAAACAAGCAATTGCTCATGAGCGAGCCGCAACAGTGCCCTGGACCAGGTGAAAAGGTTCCTGATCCACGTTGCAAACAGCCAACCAGGGTGAAGCAATTGGCATTGCAAACAACCAAATCAATCGCTCATGCTAGTGCGGCAATGAAAACGGCAACCAGATGCAATGACTATACTATTTACGTCACAAAAACAACCGACCCATAGTGTCCAATTTAAGCACAGACAGTAGCAGCATAGCCACCACTTAATGGGCTCTTCTCACTTGAAGTACAATGTGAATGGGAGGGTGGTGGCACATAGAGTCCGATGCATGGCTGCTCAGTAACCCAAAAAAAGGAAAACGGGAGCCAAAGTTAATGCAGCAAGAGCTAAATAAGGCGATTTGGGAGCACATCCGCAGCCGTAAAATGCACACGTAAAGCAAACTCAGTTGAAGCGCGCGATAGAGAGCAGTGCATCGTTCTTATCACTAACTGTTGTTAGCCTGAAGGCTAACCCATCATCTCTATTTTTGGATCGCTAGGCAATGCTGTTGGAGTGCCGGTTCATGTGTTGCTATGAGCAGTGGACACTTGCAGTAGAGCAGTTCATCAATTTATGATTAATGGCACGTCACGAATAACGCACTTGGATGAGCAGTTTTTCATGATCCCTGCCTATAATAGGGAACGTTTTCAAAGATTTCTACTGTGCTCAATGGATCTTGAGTCAAGTCTGTATGTGATAGGTCTTGCAGGCAATTATACTGACTGATGTATGCATGGCAGCACTTGTGAGCATGGAGTGTGCCTGCCCTTGTGTGTCTGCTTCCTCCATGCAGACACATATTCAGAGACCTCATTGCATAAAGTGTGTATATCATTAGGCCTCAGTCAAACAGGACTGTGTGTGTAATGATCGTGATAACACCAGAGACAGTGAGCAATACGTGAGTATGAACAGTTGTTCTGTGGATCAGCGAATGTACTGTGTAACTATCACGCTTAATTTCTGCAATTTTCTCTGCAGCAACAGTGGTAATGAACATGAACTGCCAAAGAATTCTAATACTGTGAGATTTGAATTTCTAATGGGCCATGAAGTCTAGCGTTTTAATGAGAAAGAATCCATCGTTAAACGTTATACTAGTACGCATGTTATTCCTTCTCTCCTCTGTACTAGAGAAATAGAAGACAGGTGTGTGATGGCAGGATCGCTGAACATTGTGCCTGCTAAGTGGGATTTTTTTGCAAATTGCTTAACTTTAGACTCGTCACACTTTCAACTCTTACAGTAAACCATCAAGTAGAATCAGATCATGCAGCGTATAGAGAAGAAAACATTAAACTAAAGCAGATGTCCAATTCTGGTCAACATACAATAGGACGTGAATAGTACCACACATCATTGCTGAAGCATGTGGGAGGACAAAAGACCCAGAAACGATTCAGGTATCATCTTGAAGTCTGGCCAATTCTCTAGTTGGGCAGCACACATTCATTGTGCTTTTACATAGACTTCTCCACAGAGTGCGAGATGGCGCCCAAGGGCTCACAGCTGTAGGAGATCATTATTGCTGGCAGGCGACTTGCACACTCTCATTAACATGGTGGAGCACAACCAGTAAGGTGCTTTGCAGTCTACTCCTCTAATACGACTTTTAGCGGTAACACAAGTGAAGATTGCTCATCACGGTCATGTTAAATTATACTGAAGTACATGATTCTTGTCTTGTGGAGTCTGTTGTTTGATACCGGTACATTACATTGTCTAATGTACGTGTGAGTTTGGTGTGATGGGTGACACCTATGGTATGTGGTGCCCACAAGAGTCCGAGTCATCAGGGCGTGATTCGTATGTGGTGCCGTTGCCTTGGTCTTTTGGCGTGTGTTCTGTACAATCATATTGGTCTCAGATTGTTGGTCATGATTCACCCCCACTTTCATCATTGCCTGTTCTTTGTTCCTTTGTCAGCTCTTCGGTGTCCTTCTTTGTTCAACTTTGCCTCTCCTTCTGCGCCCTCGTCGCTTATTAGTTATACTTTGAAGTTCGAATTTATATAACCTATGAATCATTTATCTTGTCGTGTGGCGGAAGCCATTGGAAAAGTTGATGTGCAAAATGTTAAAAAATTGTTGTAAAAAATGGTGATTTGTGCTAATGATGTATCCCTAGGCATGTGAAGAGAGTGCTCAAAAATTCTCGACCTCGCCTCAACAATGATCATGCTGAGTGGGGCCGTGTTGGTGTGTTTGTACAGGCTCGTGTTGCTTGTTTGGTTTCAAGATGACTTGTCAATCAACGGACAGAGTTGTTTTCTGATAAAACGCATCTACTCAAGTGCTGCGAGGTCAACAGTGCCCATGTGCCACAGGTTGAAAAAGTGTACAGTGGAATCACTGCCAATCAGCAACGACTCAGTCACCATCAATCACCATAAAATCAATTTGCTTTTCCAACTGTCACATGAACGTCACCCAGTGGCACACAACGCTATGTTATCCTTTGACTGCTACGGGGTAGAGGGGACGGTTCGATACCGGAACGGCTTGACAGCCACATTAGTATAGACCCAAACCGATGATCAGCGTGGATTGTTCACTCGAAATTATGTTTGTGGAAGGAAACTGGCATGTTGAAGTTTGTTCTGAGGCCAGAGTCAATCGAACCGAGCCATTCCTTTGTGTTGGCCCATTGCCTCCAACTTGCCCAATTTTTCGCATCAAATCAGAGGTGGCTCCAAACCGGAAAGGTATTAGAGTGCACGTCAAATTCACTCTGAGTTCTGAAATTAGGTAATTGCTATCGCTCCACGACGGCCAGTACAGAGTAACAACAAGCCTTGTGTGTGCTTCCATTACTTTTAATTGGTGCTTTAAAGGCGAGAGGCGAGCCGCTGTTTACCTGCGACAAGAAGTTGATGTTTCAAAAGAGGTAAAACTCAAGTCGCAGTGCGAAGCAACAGGTCAAAAACTCAAGTGCTTGGTATTGCGCTTTTGGTAATCGCAGAGCCATGAAATGTTGGCTCGGAGTAAAACACATCATAGTCTCACGGTGACATATTATGCTTTCTAATCAAAATACCAAGAGAGAAAGTGAATATTGAGTCCGTTCCGTGTTTTAACCTATTTCATATTTAAAACCGTCCCCTCTACTGCTGCCAGGGCTCTTAGAACCAGAGGAAACGGTTCATTTTTACAGAAAACACACATCACACTTAAAGGACAGTAACTCGGGCATCTTTTCTCGAAATATTATAGTCTTTCTGGAAAGCTGCCCCGCCGCAAGGTGGCGTTCTCGGCCCATTTATTTTTTCTGTTTACATCAGTTCCATCGACTCTCATCTACCGCCTAGTGTTTGTCACCAAGAATTCGCCGATGATATTACCTTAGATACATCATCATCCAGCCGTGCAGACATCAGCTCTAAGCTTAGTGTCGCATGTACGCGTCTCGCCGTCTGGCTCAATGGACGCGGTTTGAGCCTCAACGCCACCAAGACCTGTGTGCTGCACATTGCTCCCCGGAGCACCCTTGATCCCTTGCCGCCTGTGATATGCGATGGCGCTGTGCTCCTTGTTGTGTCGCAGACCAAGTACCTAGGCTTGATTGTAGACGATCGCTTGACTTGGAATAGCCACGTTACGCATATCTGTAAAACGTCTCGACAGGTTATAGGAGCGCTGCGCAGAAATCGGAAGTGTCTCTCTCTGCAGTCGAAGCGAATGGCCTACACGTCCATGGTAGAGTCCAGGATCCGTAATGGATGCTCAGCTTTCTTTAGCTCTCTCTCCAAGGCTAACGAGGAGAGACTTCAACGCCTATGCAACCTAGCCCTGCGAGCCGTGTACAACCTGACCTCCCGTACCCGTATGACTCCCATGTATGCGGAACACAACCTGCTTCGTGTACACCAGCTCTTGCGTGAGACAGTGTGCTCGCTGGTCTACCGGTGCCTACATTCCACCATGGAGCAGCCGCTGATCAGCGCATTATTTGGAGATTTCGTCACACCGACTAGGGCTGGCCAAACGCGCGGCTCCCAACAACATCTGCTGCAGCTTCCATCCAGAACTCATCACATGTCTCTTTCTGCAGCACGCGTTTGGAACAGTCTTCCACCTAATGCGAGAAACATCACGTCCCCCCTCCAGTTCAAGGGTGTTTTGCACGCGTATTGTCTTACTGCGGCATGACAGCACCCCCCCCCCCCTCCCCTGTCTTGAGTATAGTACTAATAGTATTGTAGTTATCCTGATGTTCTGATACATGCCGAGGCTAGCTGTATGCTCAGTCTCCGGCTAG